ACCTTTCTTCTTTACGGGCAAATTGAAGAAGAAAGGTCCACCTTTCGAAAGCGCTCGGGTTATAGGGTTTTACTCTCTATTCACAAGTTATTCTAGTGGCACAACGGTAAGTCTGCGGACTTATAACGTTAGAAACCAGGTTTCGATACCCGTGGTTGGCTTTTTGCTTAACTACAACAAACAAACTATACATCAGTGCTGATGTTTGCTTATATCACTATAGTGGTCTAGTCTCATCAAACAAACTATACATCAGTGCTGATGTTTACTTATATCACTATAGTGGTGTAGTCTCATTTACTAAGAACTATTTTACATATTATAATACAATGGAACGTTCGCTGCAGGTTTGAACTTTGTTCCTAGGGTGATGTGTTTAACAATTATATATATTTGGATCACAGCGAATTCTGCATTATCGATAATAAAATCTTGTCACAGTTAAAGTTATGACTGGAGGAAGATGTCACAGCTATTTACAAGGAGAAAAATCCCCCAACAGACTTTATAAGCCAAAGAACGCAACCTTTAGAAGAAGAGAGCCTTCATTGTATCTTTCTTCTAAAGAAAACCGGTATTATAGAGCGTTTGAGAAAGTAATAGCACCCCCCCCCCAAATAAAAACAACAACAAGAGCACCCCACTTATGTACAAAGTGAAGTTTAATGTTATAAAAGAAAAACCTTTGACCCAACAAAGCGGCTGACATAGAGGTAGATGAATCTTCTGGTAGCATTTTAACAAAATAATAAACAATGATTTGAAGTTAACAATAACTCACTGGTCACAAGCCTTCATCTAAACCTTGAAATTGACGTCTATTTTCATGATAATGGCAGCCGAAGAAAAAAAGTATCACAGAAATCCCGTTTGATCACATAACTGTTAAATCCTTCGATACAGTTTCAATGCACACTTATGTTTTTGTATTGTTTAAATGTAGTGTTGAAGGTCAGTGTTCTTGTCTGTAGAAACTACATCACAATTACATCACTGACCTCGCTGATGTTTACAGAAGCTAGTTACAAAGACATTTGTAGTATTGGGCAGAGTGTGTAATCATGTTCATCAGATTAAGCACAAGGGGGTAGTCCTAAGAGCAATGTGTCCTGTAACATCGTTCTTATAAACTGTTATTAACTCTCCTTAATCATACCAATACTTATATTTTAATTGTTTCTACAAGAGAAAAAGAAACATTTTTATTGATTCGTATAAACATCGTATGTTCAATAGGCTATTACTAATTTGAACAATATTGAAAACCTGGAAAATGTGCTTTAAAGGTTGAGTTGAGAAAAATAAAAAGGAGCAATATTTGGAAAACGTAATACAAATAGCCATTGTTTTCTATGTAATAATCTGGAACGTGTAATATTTGTAATGTTTATCATAATCATTAAGAAATTATTGAACATATATCTAGTATAACATGATATGTTTTGTTTTCTCAATAGTATATAAGAATTTCTCTAACGATTTAAGTGCAAGAAATAAAAACTAATAAATAGACTAATCATGTTATTTAAATCGTATAAATGTAGAGATTTAGTCATATCATGTTAGTCTACAGTTCAATTTGAAGAAACGAAGATCTCTTAAGTTATCAAACGGGTGTAGTGGTGGGAGCTTGTATAGGTGTAGAGGCATCGATATTATAGAATGTTTTATTGATGGCTTCTCAAATACATCTACCGTTAGCAGTAGAGCTCTAGGGGAGAAGCCTAACGTGGGATGAAAGCGACAGTGGCTGGGTGTCACATTTCCCTGCAACACACACACACCTGCGGTCATAATGCACCCGTACACGGTCAGCCTTCTCTATATCATTTAATGCAATATATCAAGATACTCGCCTATATCGAGATTACTGAAGGTATCTTGAAACTTTCCACTGTTAAAGTTATTATTTTTTTCAATCTGAGCAGGTAATTGTACTTCATTTAAACTTTCTATGATATCCATTAAATTAGTTAATACTATCAGTAAGTTATCAATTAACACATTGATTGAAAACTGCTCAGACATAACTTGTATTAATTATTTAATATTCGATTTCTAACTACATTATTCTATTCTGAGAGAGAAAGCAATAGTTACTTACACGGAGCTTGAGCGAGAAATGTTAGACATCTTCCAGGTTGTTATGGGCTTGGATATAGTTGGATCAGGCAGCATCAGTTTTATTCAACCAGCAGCAGGGTGTTTGACTTCTTGATACGAGTCAGGATATTGTAAAGATTTCAGTTGAGAAACCGGCAGCAGGACCAATGATTTCTTATTACGAGTCAGGAGACTGACTTTTAGCCCCTAAACATGGGTTTTTATACGGACTTCTTTAGTATTATCACGATTCTCCAAGTAATGTACACATTCAACTTGCAAGTAGAACTGTTACTTAACTGGATGAATTTTGTTGACTCATCATAATTCTCGGAACTAAAACCAGAACTAATTCAATAAGACGGTAAATTGGCAGCCTGTTTACATGTATTTCTCCTCGACATCTTCAGATCAAAGTTCCACCCAAAGTCTCTGATTTCCTTACTAATTCCTCTTATAGAAGTTGTGTCCAGTTAATATAAACTTTTTCATAGCTTTCTCTCTGCTGCTATGGCGTCGTTCTATAGATAATAGAAAAAGTTGATTCTCAATACCACATGGAATGCATCTTAGTTTATACTTGATGTATATATACATTTCCTTTCTTGGTCAAGCATCATTGTGTAATTCCTCGCATGCATTCATTAGATGTGCCCAACTTTTCTTTATATTGCATGTATGTATATCATACATTGAATTTTATGAAATTATATTTCTCATTTCTTGAAGCTCTTGAAGATAGCATAAAAATGCCTCAAAATGCTGAAAATGTTTCGTTCTTTACAGCTTTCCTACTTTTACGACGAAAAATAATTCAATAATTGTATAAGAAAACTGCTAAAATGTATAAATAAAAATTAGGCCCTAGATTTTTGGATGATTATGCGGATAGGATTGAATGTGCTAAGATTTAGAAATATGCTGACTAGATATGTTATTTGTTATGTGGTATTAGCCCATGTAAGAGCTTAATGAAGGAATAAATATTTGAAATAAATTATCAATTTTACAGAATTATAACACTAAAATCCGAGGTTTACTTCCCTGTGCTGGACGGAGCGAAAATGGCTCATTGTTTCACTTTGCACTAAAAACTGTCTTCCTGCGTATTTGTATATTTTTCTAACCTTATTTTTTATTTATCAATATATGTGGAAAATAATTTCTTTAGCTTCTGCTCTCTCGATGGCTCAGCGTAAGTTTGAAGGCTTATAACGCTAAAAATCAGGTTTCGATACCCGCGGTTGGCAAACCACGTATAGCGTATTGTGTATATTTGCACTTAACAACAAACGAATGAAACATTTTGCTTCAGATTTAAAATAATATTCCTTGATTTAAATATAGATAAAGAACAGAATGACTTTCATCTCGATATCTTATCATTATCTGCAAACAGTGAATATTTGTAATGTTTTTAGTTATCAGAAATCAACTGACTTCGATCAACTATTATCAGGCATTCGCGCAGCTACTTATCAGTTGTCTTTGTTGAATTGTAAATCCCGAAACTGGCTGAAAATGACAGAAATCACGATTCTTAATACATCTCTAAAGAAACTATTTTACTAAAACCAGAATATTGTATCTTACTATAGCGTATCACTATGTACTTTTCAACCCACATATCATAAATCCTTACCGTATTCTTTTACGAGCACTAGGTAAAGTTTGTTGTAAAGCTACACAATGAACTATTGCCCGCTGCTGGTATCGAAACCCAATTTTTATCATGAAAATCCTCGAAATTGTCGCCGAGTCACTGAGGACTACTAGGTAAACAAGACGAGCATAACCAATTACACTTTATGGTAGTATTTTCACAGGTATGGTTCGGTATGTCTTCTTCCAGATAAACATACTTCCTCCAAAACTGACAGTATAAACGCTAGCTGTTTTAATATATTAGAATGTATGTTTAAGTTAAAATCATGAATAGAGTTAGTATTGATGTTTCTGTTAATTCACTATTCTATGGATATCTTTACTGTTTGTTTGTTTGTAGTTAAGCACAAAGCTACACAAAGGGCTATCTGTGTTCTGTCCACCACAGGTATCGAAACCCGGTTTCTAGCGTTGTAAGTCCGCAGACATACCGCTGTGCCACAGAGGGAGTCCATGGATATCTAAGCTTTAGTAATAAGTACTTCCTCCAATTTATCATTCAGCAAATTATTTAAAACGTTCTGATATTCTTTTAATAAAAACAAGATAAAACGTATAAGCTGGCGTATTGGAAAAACATCAACTTTGAATATCAAATGTAATTTCATCGTTATTACTTTCACAACATATTCAAGAGACACGATAAGAATAATCAGTTAATTAATGAAACTTATCTTAAAGTTTAAGAAGATCATACTCAAGATAATATTTTTTGTGATTTTGGAAAAACAACATGCGATTCACATAAACTGTTTTTGTAAAATTAATCAGGAGAATATTTATTTCTTCGGAAAAAAGAGCATATTTTATGAAAAACAGAAAAAAAATAGGTGTTTAAGCATAGTTACTATGGATGTAAACAAAGGAGTTGCTAGGCGCTGGCCCCTGCCCCGATTCTATTTGAAAGTGCCCCGAATCTCTAGGTAGTGTCTTGAAAAATCAGAATGAAAAACCATGATTGATATCATACTAAAACGCCAAAAATTTCCGCGTCTATGGGCCCGAGTCCCGAATCTTTTAAGCACACAGCGACGCCTCTGTATGTAAAACAAGATAAATCAGTAATCAAATTAACATACAACATGGAATAAAAAAAAAATATACATATTTTAATGTATGTCTAAGTAAAAATTATTTTATTTCTTATTTAATACACAACATCTTGTTTTCAACCCTGTAAATTTTGCATTACTTGAAGAATTGTTAGCATTTAATTAGTAAGAGTGGAATTATGAGTAATCGATCAATTAGCCTTGAAGAGTAATTATAACTTTTAGCATGTCATTGTGTGATATTTTCTTCAACTGTTGAAGTTTAGTTTCCCAGGAAGTAAGCTTTTCTTTCACTGTTTGGCAACTATACAAAAACAACACCAGAATATGAATCACTTGTAATGATACAATTCCGCATGATGTATACAAGAGCTGAAATTATTCCAGGAATATGAAAGCCGAGATTTTCATTTTATGAAAGGCACAATTTCTGTAAAATGAACAAATAAAAAAGCATTAAACTAGGTTATCTTTAACATTTTAAGATTATCTGAGCTTAAATAAAAATGGACTTTATTTTAGCGGAAAGCTACACAATACTCTATTTGCATTTCGTGCACCACAGGGAATCAAACCCTGAGTTTTAGCTGGGCTATTTTTCCTTTTCTTCATCAAATATCTCAAAAAGTTGTAATACAACTGTACTTAAATTAATTTCTGCACTGAAGGTGAAAAAGACACTTTGTGTTACAGTATGTGTGTGTGTTTTTTTGTTTTTTTTTTTTGGCTTGCGTCTGATAATCAGTAAACGTACATTTACTTGTAAGGCTGCAAATAATTTCCATGAAGAAAATCGAAACTATCCTTGAAATTAGTGTCTGTCAGATCGAAGTACTAAGGCCTTTGCTGCTTTTCGTGATATTTTTGTATCTAAAGTTTAAAAATAACTTTAACCCTTAATAACGAAGTTTTGACATTTACTTGCTGATTTATAACTCAAGTATCCCGTTTTTAGCGTGTGAAGAAATGTATTTTTACATCTTATAAGAACTATGTTAGTTATTTCCATATATTACTGCGAGGTTTAAAATGACATTTGCAGTTCATAAGATCCAAAGAGGCAAAAAAAGTATGATTTTAAATGCTTTTAATATATATAATCCAATACAATAAACGTTATATATACATTTTTTCTTGAATTAAACAAAAAATCGGGATGACATCCGTCTCGTGAATTTATTACTTTTTACGTCAGACGGAAATACCGCCAGAGTTCACAGCAGGTCAGACAATCTGTAAAAGGTGAACAATTATAAAGAATTAACAAAAAGGTTAACTTCAACTTGGCTATTGAATCCATGTTTGCTTCATGTAACACTCTACATACTTAAAAAGTTACCCTGGTGATTAAAAAGTCAACCATAAACTGTAGGTATATCATTTAGCTAAGGTAGCTGAGATCAGCGTAATTAAAACATTGCCACAATATAACCTGTCAGTATAAATACAGTATAGATTTTTCGAGTTTATATATGGTATACGAACACTTATAATAATATAGCTCTTACCACGCCTTCAGTGGAGCTTGGCTACTCCGAGACCGTGACCGTAGCCGTAGCCGAGACCACCTAGTCCATAGCCGACACCGCCGAGACCGCCTAGCCCATAGCCGTAACCACCCACTCCATAACCGAGACCAAGTCCATAGCCAAATCCTCCAAATCCGTGACCGAAACCGCCAAGGCCTACGCCACCGTGATTAACATGAGTCACATGGGAGGCAGCACGACCAACGGGGAAGCCCCGGGCGACAAAGCTAGGTGCGATGGCAGCGTGTCCGACACCAAAACCTACGTGGGGTACTCCATATCCACCATAGTAGCCTCCCAGGAGACCGGCATGGGTGTAAGCCACGAGGGCGATAAAAACAGCAACACACTATCGAAAAGGAAATTACATGTTGTAATTATGTCGATCATAAAATGAAGTAATAATACAAAATTTAAATTTTTGCATAGGTTCTACAGCTAGCTTCTTTGGTATATACATAGTTGGAGAAAAAAAAACAGACTCGAGATACGGAATCTCATTGTATTGGAATAACAACTAACTAGAAATTCAGCAGGTTCTAACTTGTGAATAATATGCAAAAGAAATAACATTAAAAATGAATAAAAAACCCATAACCCGAGCGCTTTCGAAAGGTGGGATCCCAGTTTACCCCTGAAGAATAAAGGTCAACCTTTCGAAAGCGCTCGGGTTATGGGTTTTTATTCATTTCTATCAAGACTTCTTGAACCTACGTGTTTTTCTGACGTCATAAATAGTTCTCAATAAC